AGCCCCAGCAGCAGTAGTCTCCTCTGTAGCATATTGCTCTGAGTTTTTAGCAGCTCTGCCCTCTGATAGCCCTACCAGCCTGGCTGGGGTGTGGGTGCTGTTCAGCTCCTGGGCTGTAGCTGTGCTGGGAGGGTGAGAGGCACATGCTGCTCTGAGACTTGTGCCTGCCTCTTCCAGCTGCTGCTGAATGCCTCACCATAAGGAGCTCTACTTTAGACTGGGAAAGGAGTCTAGGTGCTGCCTTTAAAAATAAGGTCTCTAGTGGGTTCCCTGACCCTGCTCCCATTAATAACTTGTTCTTACTCTGCCTTGCTCCCAGGCACAGTTTGTGATTGTCTCCGTCCACATCTCCCAGTATTACTTCATGCCCAACTGCCAATACCAGTTCCCCATCTTCATTCACCTTATCTGGATTTATGGGACCATCTTCTTCATCCTCTTCTCCAACTTTTGGTACCAGTCCTACACCAAGGGCAAGCGGTTGCCCAGGGTGGCTCAACAAGCAGCCCAGCACAACGGTAGCAGCATCCATGAAAATGGCACTGTCACCAATGGCAAGGTCAAAGCCAACTAGAGGGTAAAGTGCTCCCAGAGCCAATGAGAGCCCCGGGGCAGAGGCAGCTGGGACCTGTCCCTCTGCTCCTGGGTGCCACTAGCCAAGTCAAGTGCCTACAGACTGTTGTACCCCTGTGCCCAGTCCTGCTGCCCCCTGTCTGCACGCTCAGCCCCTCTGCTCTGAGCAGCTATGGGCCACTTCTGCTCCTGGGAGGGCTTGTGCTGTTTCTCAGTGTTGCTGAGCAGAGAGGCAGCTGCCTGCATCACAGCTGTGGGGCTGCAGTCCCATTCCAGTGTTTCCAAAGGAACTTTCCCCAAGTGCCTACATCTGGCTCTTCTGCCTAGGGGCCATTTCCTTCTGAGTAGGACCAAAAGAAGAGACCGCTTCCTGTCCTGGTGCCCTCTCCTCTTCCCTGTCTCACAAGAGCTTGTATGGATGAGCAGATTCATCCCTGGCTGCTCGTTACTGCCAGCTCATGTGAGTGCTCCTGCTCTATGATGCCTTGTGCCACTTTGCTCCATGCCACAGTGCTGCATGTCCCTTCTGGTCCCTGTGTGCCCAGCTTGGGAGCCCTGCCCTGGCATATCTGTGCCCAGGTGTCAGTGGAGAACGTAGGGGCAGTACTTGTGGGACTTAAGGGCCCAGACCTGCCCAGTACGGTACCCATGCCCTGTGCCTAGTACATAGCAGGGGCTGTGACAGCCTGAAAGGCTTCCCCCTTGTGATAAGCCCAGGTTGCCTTGCTGTCCTTGTGCCTGGGCTGGGTGCTCAGTGTGGGCTTAAGCCACACTTACCTGATCCTCTAAGGCAGCTGGTGGCTTGCTCCATAGTGGGGGAGACCAAGCTCAGCCAAGTCTTGGACCACTTCCACTCCTGTTCATTCAAGACTTGAGCAATAAGTGCCCCTAAAATCAGCTCCTGGGCTCTCCTGCTCAGATCCAGCCCTGCTCTGGCCTTGCCTGAGCACAGTTGAGGGCAGTTTTAAGTGAGCACGTCTTGCCTTTGTGGATCTGACTGGGCCTGTGTGAAGATGTGCTCTGTCCTTCAGCAAGGCAGTGCAGCAGCTCTCCTGGCCTGGTGCCCAACACCTGCTCTGATTGTAACCAAAACATGCTGATGGCCTCGAGGACGAGGTGAAGGAGCCAGGCCCTGTCAGATTGGGCTGCTCTTCTATCACAAATAAACAAACAGAAGGAGAAATGGCTCTGTTCTCTTGTTTTCTTGACTCAATATAAGCAAAAGCTCTTCCAGGTGCTTGGTCCTGCCCAGGGTGGTTGAAGGCAGGGCTGGGAGAAGCAGCTGGTGTAGCAGGTTTGTGCTGGGGGAAGAGGGTGATGGTTGTGTGCTGATGAAGCAGATGGCAGATTGTTTCCAACTGTTTTGGTAGAGCAGTGCTCAGGGCTGGATGTGTGTCAAGGCTTCTGTTGTGAAAGTGACTCCACCCTGTCAAAAAATGGCTGGGGTGGAGTGTGGGTGTGGGCTGGGTCCTGGGCCACCTGCCCAGGAGGAACTGCTGCTTTTCAGAAATTATGGGGATTTGAGGTATGGCAGAGCAGGGAATAGAGACTCAGGAAACTTGAGTGCTTGAGAAACAGCAGTTTGCTGCTTTCTGAATCTGCCAAAGCAAAAACTGCTGCTATCTGTGAATGCCCCTGCAGCATGGATCTGTGCACAATGTAGCTCAGGCTGGTCAGAGGAAGGTTAATGTTGCTGTCTTGTTTTTGCTGCAGAAGTATGTCTTTGCCTGGCTGGGCTTTGTTATTTTTCCAACTGTCTCATTCTGGGGTTCCTTCGGTGCTGTTGGGGTGTAGGGCTGCCTTCCCATCCCCCCATGACTGGGGCCCTCTTGACCAGAAGGCAGCCTGGGTGCTGACTCAAGCCTGGGAAGAAGAGTGGGGAGCCAGCTGGGCAGCATGTGGCTGGGAGGAATGTGTTAGATCAGCAGCCTCCAGATGCTGAGTTTCACTGTAGGGTTGGGTTGTGGGGTGGGAGGGCTTTGGTGGATGTCCAGCTAAAGCCCTGGAGCAGAGCCTGGTGTGAGAGAGCTCTGCTGCTCTGACCTGGGCTGCTGTACACCTCAAGGCCATGCTCTGAAATGTAGGAAAACATCTTCAAGTGCCCTGAACTGGTGTGACTAATATGGCTAAGCTGCACACAGCCATCACCCTCTTCTACAGCACTCAATGTGCTTGTCTGTAAGAAGTCATGCAGTGTTTTCCCAGTTGTTGATGCTTCTCTGGAAGTAAAGACTTGGATGAGAATTTGTTCTTGTCCATGCTGAAGTGGTGTGTAATGTTAGGTCAGTGTTCAGAAGTCACCACTTCAGGAGCTGTAGGTGATGGTCCAGCTGACATTGACCTTTTCCTGTCAAGCCTCCTTCTCCCCTCCCGCTGGCTCTTGCTAAAGATGGGATTGTCTTTGCTTTTGCCCAAAATAGTAACAATGCTTTAAACTACTTATGCTTGGTATTTTAGAATGGGCTGTTCCCTGCATGTGCTCTGCTCTCCCTTCCTCCAATTGTTCCTGTTAGCTGTGCTCTTCTATGGGCTGGCCATGGCACTTGGTAATTAATATGCTGTCATGCTGTGAACTGAATTCACACCTTATAGGGCTGTGTTTACTGGGCCTGCTGGATCAGTGCCCACTTCCTTCCTCAGCTCCTCCTCACTCCAGGACTGTAAGAGACCAGCATGGGGTCAAAGACCCTGCAGTATCATTACCCTCTAGTAATGCTCAGATGTCCTCTAAGGGCTGTGTAATGCACAGCATCTGGGTGTGGGGCATGTGCTAAGGAGAAAGAAAGAGTCTGTGAGAAAGCTGAGCTGCTTTTACATGGGACTGAAAAAATGACAGCAACTTTTTGGCATATAAAGCTTTCCTTCCAGGTCAGGGACCAGGGAAGGCCTAATCAGCTGTGGCCCTACAGGGCAAGTCTGTGCTAACTCCCAGCACCAAGTGCAGGGGTGTGGGGCAGGGCTCCTACAGCAGCAGCACAGCTCTGTGGAAGAGCCCAGCCTTGCATCTGGGTTCCTGCCTGCTTCCCCTTTAGAGACAGCTGTGGCCCGAGGATTTGTGTCCCCAAGTAGCCTGATGGGGATGCACCAGCAGCACTGCTGGGAAGGTGCTGGCTCAGTTGTTTTTTGAGACTGTGTCCCCCATATCAGCTTTGGCGGGGGGGGGGGGGGATGTGCTCTGGTGGGTGTGGTTACACACTCGCTGGCCTTGGCAGATCACAAGTTGGAACCTTTGAAGGTTCCTGCTGCTGCAAGACTCAGGAGGCAGAGCTGGTGCTAGGCACAGTGTGGTACTGTGCTGAGGGAAAGGTGAAAACAGTTAATAATCCACCCTCAGTTAATCACTGAGGGCTGATGGGAGGCACAGGCTTGGTGGAGCTGCTTTGTACAGGCCAAGGTGCTTATCAGCTGTGCAGTGTCCCCAGCAGCCCCTGGCAATGCTGGTGCAGCTGAAGGACAGGCATGATGGGTCTGGTGCAGCCCCACAACCTCAGACACTGTGGCTCCACCGTGCAAAGCAGCATGGCTGAGCTGGTTGTTGGTCAGGTAAGGGCTCAAATATGATTCCTGCAACTTGCTCCAGCACAGTTCAGCCTGGAAAAAAGGCATTTTTCCAAGTGTAGGGGAGTCAAGCTCCAATAAATGTGAGCTGAGCCCTGGTGCCTGCTCCCCTGCATGAAGCCTCAGTGAGGCACCAGGGCTTCCTGTCAGCAGGAGGGGAAGGGAGATCAGAGTTGTTGGAAGAATACGTGACTGAAGGCTGAGCACAGGGTTGGTGGTGCTTTGCGTGGCTCTTGCATGACATCCAGGCTGGCTGGGGCAGTGTCAGTTACCTTTTGTTTTGCATCAGGCTTTATGCCAGTGCCAGCCCCTTTCCAGCCTTTGGGGTGATTACAGCTGTTGCTCTATGTTTCCCCCCCTCCTTTTTTTTCCAAAAGCTATTCTACTCCAGCACCATAAGCAGGCAGTGATGGCTGCCTGTAGCTAACAAGACAAACTGAGATGTGCCTGCAGAGCCACAGTAAGGTCCCTGTGGTGGTGAGACAGGCCAGGACAACACTAACTGAGGCCACAGCCATGCTGTGCTTTCAGCTGAGCCCGTGGTGGAACCGCTGTGCTTGTAGTCAGCACCTAGATGGGGCAGGTGACATATCTGTCTCCACTAGGACAGAAACAGAAGTACAGCCCTTGCACAGCATCCTTCTTCTAGGCTGTGCTAAGCTCAGGGGCCTGTAAACTGGCCCTTAAGACCTAGGTCTCCACTCCTTGCCCAGATCCCCAGCCTCGGGGAGAAGGACTTGGGTTTAGGAGCCATGGCTTTTTCTTCCATCAGACTCCATTAAGGAAAAGTCAAGCAGTTTATTAACATTTAAAATACTGTACAACATTTAAACCAAAAATATACCCCTCCCCACAACAATCCCATGCTGTCAGCGGATGCTCTGGTGAATAATACTGCTTTTGGCACAGTTTGCTTTCTCTTTCTCCTTCTTCTTGATGGGGTCCATCTCGAAACAGTGCCAGAGCCGCAGCGTTTCATCAGCAGCTGCTGATGCCACTGTTGTACCATCCGGGCTCATGGTCAGGTTGAGGATTCTAGCAGTATGGCCTGAGGAGGAGGAGTGTGCAATCAGGGCTGAGCTGATCAGCACATGCACATTTACTCCTGTATGCTCCCATGAGCCCTGCCAGCTTGCATAGCTGTCCCCCCACTGGCTGTGGCAGCGTGATTTCAGACCCCAAGCATACACTTGGAGCAATGGTATCTCTTCCACAGCCCGTGGGCATGCTTTACTCCTAGCAGCATGGCCCCAGATACTGTCCTGTATCAGTTGATGCTGCAGGCTCAAACCAAGGAGTGCAGCTGTCTTCAACCTCTAACAGCCCCCCCTCTCCCACCCAGGCCCTGTCCACCTACCTTGCAGCTCTGCAACCTTGGCCATTGTTGGATATTTCCATATAACTAGCTGATTTTGTGCAAATCCATGGCCTGAAATCAGCTCCTTGTAGTTAGTCGACCATAAGATAGAACAGACCTGCAAAGAGGCAGTGACACAGGTGAGACAGGGGGCTTGTGCTGATGCTCACTACTCAGAGGTGAGCATGATCCCCTCCTTCCCCATGCCTCTGGGCCTGAGGAGCCAGCAGGTCTGTGTAGGTGTGCTGCCAGAAGATGTTTGTGTCCAAGCTGATGTTCATATCTCACCTGGGAATGGGTATCGACGGTACTGAGGCAGGCACCAGAACAGACGTTCCAGATGCGGATATGTCTGTCACTAGTGCCCCCTCCAGTGGCTAGAACATTCGTCTGCCACGGGCACCACGCCACAGCCTGAGAGAGGAGAGTTCATTTTAAAACATACAAGAGGCAACTTGCACCCAGCCAGGGCTGCATGCCTGCCTTGCACACACATATCTGCCCGTGGCAGCTCTGTGCTCACCTTGACAGCACCCTGGTGCTGAGTGAAGGTCTGTATGGGAGCAAAGTCTCCACCCCCACCTTGGGTGCATGGCCAGACGTTCACCAGATTGTCGTTGCCGCCACTGGCCAGGTAGCGCCCATCTAAAGACCATTTGAGTCCACACACCTCCTGTGTGTGGCCAGCAAGGGTGGCCACGTGATGTTCAGCCACTCTGACATCATGGTGATGGATGTGCCCGTTCCGTGCCCCACTGCAGAGAGAAGAGAAGGCTTGCAGGGTCAGGCTGCACGTTTTCACCCAAATCCATTTTTGTTGTTGCAAGACTGTGTTACCAGCAACACAGGTCTGTTGGTGTGAGTGAAACACCCACACAAGCTCTTTACAACTTCAGCACAAATTGCAATACAGGAAAGAGGCCTTCTCCTCAGAGCCCAAACAGATAAGGCTGAGTAAGAATCCCAAGCCAGGACAAACTTCTCTCTGCCATCCCTAACCCATGCCACACATAGATTGAGGGATAGGAGTTTGCAACAACTGGAAACTGCCCTTGACCCACTGCTTTACCTGGAGAGGATGTAGCTGTTCCAGCTGAGGGTTCCCACACGGGCACAATGGCTGGTCATGTTTCGGAGACGTTTCTGCTGCTGAATGTCCCATAGCTAGAGAGGCAAAGCAAAAAGTTCTTCAGAAGAAACCCAATCCTGTTTTTATGCTCTAGGAACCTCACTGCACAGGCTCTGGCATTCAGCTTTCTCAGTAAGGGAACAGAGAAATTGTGTATCTCATGACTATAGCACAGAAGGTAACGCTACTTATCAGAAAGCCCCCAAACCAAACCCTGCCTTGCACACTGGGTAGTTCCACCCCACACCAGGGAAGACAAGTCAGGTGCATGGCATCCTTCCTCTGCCAGCCAAGGTTATATTCCAAGGCCCCACAGTTCTGTCAATCCCTAGAAAACACCTCTAGTTTTACTCTTGCATTCACCTGAACCTCAGCACTACTTGTGCCGACAGCGAGGTAGTTTCCTTCTTTAATCCATGACACAGATGAAATGTACACATCTGGATGCTCCATCTGCAGCAGCTGGATAATCTCCCCAGTAGCATGACTCCACAGATAAACAGAGTTGTCCAGAGCCACTGCCAGGAAGTTCTGGGAGCTCCAGTCTATGAGATTCAGATCTACAATTTGAAAGAGCAATGCAGGTCACACCATGCTTGGCTAGAGAGCCCTGCCCTTCACCCATGCTGATGCAGCAGGTGTGGGTGCACATGTGCACACACACACGTATAGGTGAGGGGCAGCCTTCTGAGTGTCACTGTGCCCAGCTGCTGGGGCCATGTACCCTGCTCCAAGGCACCTACACCGTGCCCTAGACCACTGTCCCTGTAAGGCCACACAGGGACACTGCAGAAGTGGTCTGTGCTAGCCTGGGTACACAAAATAATAGAGACAGCCCAGTTACACTGAACTAGGAACAGCAATCCAGTGCAGAATGTTCTGGGTGCCCAGCACTCAACCCTGTACCCTACTTACAGTAGTCGTTGCGGATCTCTGGTGCATCCAATATCCGGTCTGGGTTTGAGGGAATGTATCTGCTAGTCTTCCTGCTGGATCCAGGTGTCATTTTCTGACTATAAAGCACTTTCAGGTTATTCTGATAGCCTGTGTGCAGAGGAACAGGTTTGTTAACCTGAGTTAGTTTCCTCCCAGCTGAGTGCTGCTCACCCAACTAGGAATCCCTTGGAGTGAAAATAAAGTCCTAAGAGAAACACAAGTGTGCAGTGCACTAAAATCACTGGCAGTATGAACTGCTGAACAGGGGCAACGATTTCCTCATTCATGGAAACAAATTTAACAAACACTTGGGTTTTTGAATCCCATTATACTTAGTTGCAGTTTAAGCTAGAAAGTGCACAGCAGAGAGTTTGATGCTCTTACAGACTTCATGAAGGTTTGGAACCTGCAGTACAGGTGACCAACTGGCAGTCATAACAACTTTCCTAAACAAATTCACTGTAACTGTTATGCCCTCCCTCCACCTCAGGAACCTTAAGAAAGGAGACTCCAGCCTGTACAGCTCTCAGAAACCAGTTGATTTCTCCTGTGACCACACACAGAGCCTCTGTGTTGCTGTTCCCCTGACCTGATCTCTCCTGCTGATTCAGCTCACACAGACCCTGTATCATACCTTCTGGAGCATTCTGTGGTTTTCCACTGAGGCGGAGGATCTTTGCCTCTTCTACATCAAAACCATTCAGATTCACTGCCCAGGCTTTCTGTTGCTCCTACAGAGACAAATCACCCTCAGTGCAATGCATTTAAAACAACTCCCACAATGCAATTTAAACAGAGACCTAAGTCCCCTTCTCTTAGAATCTGAAGATGTTTGACTGTGCTGCAAGGATCAGTCACACAGAGGCAGGTCAAAGCAGTTTTCCCTCAGACTTTCATACATCGTCCTGCTCACATTTTCACACAATGGCAAATTCAGTGTCATTGCCAGTGGGAAAAGCCACAGCCACAAAGCAACCAAATGCTTCATAAACAGATTTCAGAACACAGTGTAAAACATTCCAGAAGTGTTCCCTGTGGAGACATTGTCCTAGAATAGCTACCACCAGCAGTTTCACTTTGCATAGGCTTACAGCTTTGTGTTTTTGTTGCCTGCTACATTTTAAAATCTCATTAGTCAAAAGCTAAATTTTGCTACCAGAAGCAGCATAGGCTTAGAGTCCATGGTAGTCTCTACAGCTTCAATCTCATCCTAGGCTCCTGAAGCCCAGAGCTGCAAGTAGTGATGGCTGGGACTTGTCAGTCTCGTGTGTCCACTCGATAGAACCTATAGTTTACTGCTCTGTAAAGGGGCAGGAAGGAGTAGTGGTTGTTGAAGTAATTGTAACTTAGCAACAAGCTCACCTTCTTGGTAGGGGAATCCTCAGCAGGGTCATTTTCTTTGGTTAGGAGAAAATTTGCCATCTCCATCTGCATAGTGCTGCGGTTGGGAATGTAGCGATCCCCCCCAGGCTTTGTGGGAGTGCTTTGAATTTTGGATCCAGATTTACCTGCATTTGCATATGAAAATATTGTCTTACAGCTATTTAACAGCCTGTATTAGAGCTTTCACGGGAGCAAACCCAGCACTCTTCCACATCACACCCGCCAGACAAGTAGGACTCTGAGATCTCATACCACCCAGTCACAACTAACTTATATTTTCCTCCTTGCCACCAAGTTGGTTAGGGACTATGTGGTGCAATTCCTTGGGTCTAGTGCAACAATTCCAGAGTCCAGAGATAAGGAGAAGATACAAAAACGCTCACAGGATGTAAAGCTGTCAGCTGACAGTCCCGCCCACACTTGTCCCAGCATGCAGCTGTGCCAGCAAGGCTCAGCTGGGGGATCAGCAGCTCGCCAGCCCCAGGGCTCAGAGCTCTGCCCCTCACGCTGGCAAGGAGGTGGGTGGCTGTCAGGAGCACAGCCCACCTCCTCCTGCCTGAGCAGCAGCCGGTAGGGCAGAGTGGCAGGGAGCCCAGAGCCCCATGGCTACAGACGTGCAGCCTGGGCGAGGCTCCCGCACTCAACCTCTGCCGCTGGTGGCCGGCGCTCACCGGGTGTCTTGGACGGCGTCTTACTGGAGCTGTGGGAGCGATTGGCCGGCTTCATGGGCGACACGCCGACTGGGCTGGGCCCGGGGCCGCTCTCCTTGGCCTTGCGCTGCCATCGCGCAGGCGGCGCGTTCGGGATCGGCGTGTCCAGCTTCAGCAGCCCGTGCAGGTCCGCCTCAAACAGGAACTGCGCCATGGTCCTGCAGGCGGGCGGGCGGCGTTAACCGTGCCCACCGTCCGGGCTGAGCCTACTCCGACAGGCCCCGCCGGGCTCCCCACCACCGGACCGTGCAAGCGCTCCGGCCGCTCCTCCCCGCCAACGGACACCCCCGCTCTCCCCAACCGCTCCTCGGAACGCTTTCCATCAGCAGATACGCCCTCCCTCCCCTCCTCGGGGGTCCTTTCTATCAGCCGACACCCCTTCCAGCCGTCCTTTGGGGCTCTCTCCGATAAGCGACATGCTCCCTTCCCCTCGCCCGCCTCACCACAGCCTCTCCGGCCCTGTGGCACGCTCACCTCGGCCGCGCCGCCGCCGCCGCTCGCCCGCCCCTCCCGCTCGGCAGCATTTTAAACGGCGCGCCTACGGGGCCGCGGTTGGCCGCTTCAAACCCAACGGCCGCGCGCTGCCAGGCGACGGCCGCGCGACGCAACGCGATTGGCTGAGCCACGGAACGGGGCGGGGCGCTCCGCGCGTGAAGGGAGGGGGCGGGACTGGAGGCGGGACGAGGGCGGAGCGTTCTTGCTGGGGCGGGGCGATCCGGGCCGGGGGCGGGGCGGTGAAGGAGGGACCAGGCGGGGGCTCGTGGGGAACAGGAGTTTATGGCGGGGTGGGGGCGGTCGTGGCTGCCCGCGGCTCCCAGCCGCTCATGAGCAGGTAGGACTGGTTGGCGATGTCGGTGCTGGACAGGCGGCCCCCACCGTGCTCCGGCGGCGGGCCCGCCTCACGCCGCGGGCCGGGCAGCACCTCCAGCAGGCAGGGCAGGACGGCCTCCTCCGACGGCTGCTTGTCGAAGGCGCTGGCCTGGGGGGACACGGAGTGGACGAGGTAGGGGCTGCCCTTCGAGCTGCCCCCGGGAGCAGCTGAGCCGCCCTGCCCACCCACTCACCTGGCCGTGCTTGCTGCTTTCCTGGAGGAAGCTGCCCAGAGCACGGTGCAGGTCGGGAACGGGCGGCCAGAGTTTCTGCTTCACATTGCTGGGTACGGAGGAAGGGGCATCGAATTTACCCTCAGACTTGAGGTGCCCTAATGCCCCGTGCAAGGTGCCCAGGCTTGGTGCTGGACCCCCCCGCCTGCCCCCGGCACAGCCCTTTACCTGTAGAGGGAGGGGAAGGTGCAGCGCAGCCCCAGGAGCACTGCTGAGAAGAGCAGCGGCACCACCGTAACACTGGGGATGAGCCAGCCTGCATCGGAGGAGGAACGCCAGAACTGTAGCCCTTCCCAGACCCACCATCTCTGAGCCCCTCGCAGCCCCCTGCCCCATGCTCGCCAGCCCATTTCCAGCACTCTCCGCCTCTTGCCGTCAGGCGTGTGGCTCCTGCGGCCGCCAGCCCTGTCCCTTACCCGCATCGGCCACGGCATCAACCACAGCGGGTTTGGACCAGGCGCTCCAGCTGCCCCGGTACCACGGCCCGCTGGGCTGGGCCCGCACCTGCGCGTGGTAGCGGGAGCCTGGCCGCAGGTCCAGGACCTCTTTCCTCGCTGCTCTTGGAACCTGCAGGACCTGCGGGGCAGAGCCGAGCTGGAGGCATGGCTGCTGTGGGCTGGCACCAAGGGGCGGGTCCCGTTTTGCCCGACCCCGCGCCTGCTGTGTGTCAGCAGCGCTGCTCGGGGTATCCTGGGCAGGCCTTACCTTCCAGTCATGGCTGTTCTCCGTGGCATAGCGGACCTGGTAGTCCAGGTGCTCTGCCAGCAGCTCCAGGGGCGGCAGCCACTGCAGGCTCAGCCGGCCCTGCGACACTGTTGCCTGCACAAGCTGTGGGGCATCTGTGAGCACTGTTGGTGTTGGGGATAGGCATTTGTCGCTCCTGTGAAACGGGACATGGGACACTGTGTCCCCTGTGAGCCAGGCAGGGGCTGTGGTGGCACTGGGACTCACCAGCCTGGTGCAGCCAAAAGGGTTCCTTGAAGTAGCTGAGTGTGGGCAGCATGCGGGTCCTGGTGACATTCACCAGGACAGAGATGGCACTGCCAGCCTTGGGCTGGAAGGTGCAGGCATAGGTGCCCTGTGCCCCCCTGCTCACCTCCTCGCACTGTTGCCATGCATCTTCCCTGTGGGAGGAGTGGGGAGCCAGTCAGTCCCACCAAAGCATACCCACAGCCAGCATTCCTCCTGCTCTTCCCCAGGAAAGCTACTGCTGCTTGTAGTTAGAGGTGCAATGTGGTGAGGGGATATGAGATTGGTGGTGGAAGGACAGGACAGAGTAGGGTATGGGCAAGGGGCTCAGTGTGGGATATTGGGACACAGCAGGACCAGTGGTCCCTGGGATGTGCCTGCCCGAGTGCCACCTTGCCTGCCATGCCCCTTACCTTGTGCCAGCCCCGCTCGGAGGTGGCCGGTAGAAGAGCTGGTGGGAGCTGTGGGGCTCTGCAGGGTCCCAGCTCCACTCGCAGCGCACGTGCCGCAGGTCGGGGGTACTGCAGCACAGCCCGATGTCTCCTGGGCAGGGAGAGCCAGGACAGGGAGGGGGCTGCTTCCCCATGGCCCCCAGAACTTGGGAGTCACACCTTGCCTACAACAGGACCCCCACCCCCTGCAGCCCCAGGGGTGTCTCCCTGCTGTACTGCCAGCACCCTGCAGAGGGGATGGCTGCTCACCCGAGGAGCGGGGTGTCTCTGCAGCCAGAACCTGCGACCAGGGCCCCCAGACGCCGTCCATGGAGGTGCCGTCGGGCTTGCTGCGCACCTGGATGTGGTACCTCACCCCTGGCTCCAGGTCCCGAAGCACCATCCAAGTGTTGGCCTGGACCAGCCTCTGCAGGAGAGGGGCCAAGCTGAGGAGCAACTGCAGGCTCCAAACCCCCCTGCCCATCCCTGACACCTCTACGTACCTGTCCCAGTGCTGAGGAGGCTGCCCTGGGTGTGTGGGTGCTAACAGTTGACTGCAGAGAGGGGTCCCCAGGGTGCTGCCCACCGGGGTTCAATGTGGTGTTGCAGGGCACCCCTGGGGAGCTGGCAGGGCAGCACTGCACCTCGTAGAGGAAGAAGTTGGGGAAGTCAGTGAGTGGTGGCTGCCACGACACGCAGAGCTGCCCCGCAGCCCCGGCCCAGCGGGCAGTGATGTTCCCTGGGGGAGCAATGAGACCTGCAGAGAACATGCCAGGGTGTTTGTCCTCCTGTAGCAGCCCCAGCCCGGGCAATGCCTGCTCCTGCTGGGGGACACATGGAAGTCCCTTCCCAGGCTCCACCACTCACGGTGTTGCCAGGCAGGCAGAAGGTCAGGGGACCCAGAGCTGGGGGCTGTCCAGTTATCACAGGGCATTGCCCAGTGAAAGGGACTCACCCACGGCGTCCACGCTGAGCTCCCGCCAGTACTTGGTGTGGTTTGTGGTGGCATCCAGGACACGGAGGTGGAGCTGGGTGAAGAGCCGCACGTCCTGGCTGGGGAAGACGCAGACATGTCGCTTCCCACCAGCCCCACGGGGCCACATGGAGACCACGCACGCTGTGGGCACATCCCTGAGGAACGGAGAGTGGGATCTTGCAGCACCTCACACCTCCTGCCTCGGGCCAGGCTTGAGGAGAGGCAATGTGGGGCACAGCACCGAGACCTCGGTGTCACCAGCTGCTTTCCCGTGCCATAATCCGCTGCAGGGCACCGTCCCCATGGGACTAAGGCACAACCAGGCCCCAGCCCTGCTGCAGGGTGTGGGGTGGCTGCTGTATGGCTTCCGTGGGCTCTCCATCTCTCCTTGCAGCTTGGAGCCACTGGGATGGCCCAGATTGCTGTGACACACTGCCACTGCTGCTCTCTGTGCAGCAAGGAGGAGGCTGGGCAGTGCCCCCACCATCTCCTACCTGCTGTACCAGTAGTAGAAGTGGCACATCCCAGTTGTTGTCTCCTCCTCGTCCCAGAAGCAGGTGAGGTCCTCGAAGCAGCGGGAGAAACAGAGGATGTCCTCGGACACGCCTGCTAGCAGTGCAGCGTCTGGGAGGAGTGTGGCCATGAAGGAGCCCCTGGGCACAAACCCATCCCCATCTCACCTGCTTCCACCTCAGGCACGCGGGGCAGCCTGGGCATGGCCGTGGCACGGGTGCTCTCCACCAGCTTGGCACACTGGGGAGGGACACGGCACCCGTGCTGGCTGCTGGCTGGCACCGGGGTCCTGGCTGGTGCAGGGCTCCCCCCGGCCCCACCACGCCCCCTCCTCAGTACACGAGGTCCTTGAGGACAAACAAACATCCCGAAATAGCCCTGCGGTCGGCGGGGGGAGCTCAGGGCCCAGCGATCAGGGGGAAGCACCCCTGCCCTGCTCATGCCGGAAGGTGCACGGAAGTGAGATAAGGAGGAGCAGCACCCCAGGGAAAGGGAAAGGGCCTGGGGGCTGGTGTGGGGGCATGTGGTCCTGAGCAGGGGGGATACCCAAACCCCTGCCCTGGGGGCATGGCTGTCCCCCTCAGTAAGCTGTGCTCCCTGTCGTTACACAGACAAACTGGAGCATCACACCCTGCAGGATCTCTCTCTGAAGCACAGGTAGCTCTGCTGACATATGGGTGTCTGCTCTTGTTGTTGTGAAAGGGGGGACAACCCCAAGGTGCAGATGTGTGATGCACAGGGGTGGTCTTGCTGTCCCCAGCATTGCTCCAGCAGTCCCTTCTCCCCCCACTCCCTCTGCCCTGTGACCTGCTCCAGCCTTCTTCCTCCTCCTCTTCCTACCAGCATTTGCTGCCTTCCCCAGGGGTTGCCCCCAGCGTTGGGACCCCACAAGCCCACTGCCAATGTCTGCTGCATTTGCTGAGTAAATCCATTCTCTACTACACACCTCTACACTGCCAGCTGAGCCCACCCTGGGCAAAGAATAAGTCACAGTTCCCAGTATTCTTGTCACCTTCTTGGTGTCCTTCTGCTCACCCTGTCCCTTCTCTTGCCCTGACCCCCTCCAACCCTGTTCCTCATTTCCCAGACCTGTGTTGCCTTCTTCCCCATTCCCATTGTCCCATTTCTGCCACAGCCCCCCCACCCGTTTCTCTCTTTTTTCCCCCATTACCCCACCCCAGGCATCATGCAGGCTCCATGGCCTCACCCAGCTCCGAGCACCAGGAGAGGAAGTGCCCAGGTCCCAGTAGCTCGGTGGCACAGGGACCCATGGCATCAGTGGGAGCCCACCCTGGTCCTGTGGACTATCAGAGCATCTTTGAGCACAGCCCATTTCTTAGGAGGGGCAGCTGCCCAGCTCTGCAGCCCCCACCAGCCATGCTTGGGCAGTGCTGCCAAACCAGCGGAGGGCTCAAGGCACAGAGCCCTTTTGCAGAGGCTGTGGGCAGAGTCCAACCCTGACCCTCGTCCCACTGCCCCTAGGGGGGTGACTCAAAATGTGCTCCCAAGTCTATCCTGGCCAGAAACCTGGGGTGGGGCTGGAGAGACAAGCAGATCAACAGGGTTTTATTCAATTAATGTTTTTTATGGTGTTACAGAAGGTTCTAAAGGGGCTAAAGAGGTGCTTAAAGAATGCATTATTTAATTCTGAAATGAGACAAAGTTGGGGAGTGGCTCTGGCAGGTGCAGTGTGCCAGGCTGGGGCCAGCGATCAGCTAAGATGAGGATGTCCAGCAGGACAGTAAGATCATGACAGCAAGGCTCCAGGAGCCCTGGGGTTAGCCTGGAAGTGCCACTGCATTGCCCGTGGTGCAGAGCTGTGCCATCAGATGTTGAGTCTTGTTCAAACCCTCATCACGTCATAACTCTGAGAACTTCTGATGAGTGAGGAGCCCCTGTGCTACCTCAGCAGGACTGGGAGCACCAGGCTGCCATCTTCAGGGGCAGCCCATGGGCAGCCAAGCTCTGCTTGCAGAGAGCATGAATATTCCTTTACTCCAAGCATCTCAGGATGTCCCACAAGTGAGAAGCACGCTCCATTGCTCACCCTGAACACTCCCTGCACACCCTCCTGGAATGGCCCCTTCCCAATCCCATAGATTTTGGCTGCTCGCTGCCCACACCTGGCATTCTAGCCGCTCTCTGGCCCATCCTTTGGGAGACAAAATAGCCCCAATGACCTACCTTGGGATGTCACTGGCTCAGGGGCTGACGGTGGGCTGCGGAGGCTGAGCAGGATGGCAGGGAGCAGTGAGAGCTGCCAGCCCTGGCACAGGCAGGCTGCCATCCTGCAACCTGCGTGCCGGAGCCACGCGTGCCGCACTCGTCCCTTCCCGGTGTCCTGGGAGCTGCTGCGGCTCCTCCAGGCGATACCTTTATCTGGGAAGTGGTGGCTGTGCAGCTCAGGAAGCCTGGCTGGGGGCTCCCCCCACCCCATCACCAGCACTTCCCTGTGCCTGAAACCACAAGGCCACAGCCCCCCTGCTGCCGGCCGCAGTGCCAAGAGAGACTGCTCCTATCAGATAGGCGGCATGTTCCTGCCCTTGTGGCTGCTGGCATGTGGGAGGATGGGGTAGGAAGAAAAACAACCCCCGAGGAACCAGGGAGGCCCCTGTGTGGGGCAGGGCAGGCTGTTGGGGGTGCTGCCACACAGGGGCACGGGATGTGGCACAGCTGATCTGCCTCCATGGTGTCCTGTGCCACCTGGCACTGGTGTACTCCAGGTGTGTTCTGCCAGCAGCACTGTGTCTGTGGCAGTGCTGGGAGCAGAGCTGCAGGCACAGGGAGCAAAGCCCTCAGAGGTGCCAGTGCTAGTGGTGCAGGAGCAGGGCCACCACAGTGAGGTCCCACAGTCATGCTCAACCAGTCCATCACTTCTGGTGCTGGAGGGTCTCCCACCCTGCCAGGGCACAGCTCTATTGCACAGCACAGGGAGCACCAGCCAGGGCACAAGGAGCCACTTGCACATGTGTCCCCTGTGCACCAAGGCCAGGTTTGCTTCTCCAAGCCCAGCAGCTGAGGACAGCAGTAGAGGCATTGAGGGAAGAGCAGTGCCAGCCCCAACTTGCCACAGACAAATTTTGTCAAAAAAAGACCTAGGCGTGAGCAGGACTGGTGACACTGCCCCAGACACTGTCCCCAGCTGGGAGAAGAGGGGGTGCAGAAGAAGTGGCACATGTCAGGCTGTTTGTAAGGGTCAGTCCCCATTCACTGGGGACCTCAGAGATGGGGCAGGGCTGCAGGTCACACCAAAGAGCACAAGACCCAGCTGGAGGAGCAGCTGGGGGGAAGCTGCAGGAACAATTTTTAAGCATGCAAGTGGCAGCTGTGCATAGGAAGGACTTAGTCTGTTCTTCATATCCATTTGGGGACAAGACCAAGTCTTAATTGTGTGTGTGGGAAAAGATCCCAGTTGGATCCTAAGAAAACCCATCTCCATGCCATGATGAGACCCAGGACTTGTCTGGGAATGCTGGGACATTCCTGGGGATTATCACAGGACCCCAGTGGGAACAGGATTCTGAGGAGTGCCCACCACAGCAGCGGATCCTGTTCCCCAGTGCTGTCAGTGGGGCAGAGGTGGGTCCCCACCAATACTCCTCTGGACCCGGCTGTTGCATGATCTTTATTGTCCATAAGGCAGAGCTGACATCTCCAAAGGGTCACTGCAGAGCTGGAGGCTGTGCACAGCCAACATTGTCCTTTTGCACCCACCAGGGTGGCCCCATCCCATGCCAGCAGCGTTGCTCACAGCCCCTGGCACCACTTCAGGCCCAGAGCATGCTGAGGGCTGCAGCTGTATTGCTGCTTCCTCCTCTTGCCCCAAAGTTTAAGCATTTGTGTCCGTGGGCTTAGGCAGTGCCTTGGCTCCTGAGGGAGGCCCTCTCCTGCCTGCTCTGCTGCCAGGACCCTGCTGCTGTTTGTCCTTGGGGGCCACCCCAGCATGTCCCAACAGTGTGGGGCTCTTAGTGGCTGGCACCATGCCAGGGAGGGGACGGCACAGTCCTGCTGCAGGGAAGGCCCTCTTGAGAAGGGGCACTGCCATTTGGCTGCTTGGCCCTGGAGAGGATGAGCAGCCCCTTGTCCCCAGAGCACTGTTCCAGCAGGCTGGGGCCAGCGCAGCCTCACGCCTCCTCGGCAGTGGCATCAATCCCCGCGTAGGTGAAGTTCTCGAACAGGGCCATGTTCACGTAGGCCTGTGGGGGAACCCCAGTTAGGAGCCAGTTGTGAGCATGTCCACATCTACCTCCTGTCCCCACTAGCATGCTCACGGGTACTGTGCCCTGTTGTGTCCCTGCACCCAAAAAGTGATGGTGGGGTTAACCCCCACGCATGGTTCTGCTGCCACCACTCACCTTCCTGGCCTCCAGCATGCGGATGAGCTGCATGGAGATCTGGGCGAAGGGAGGGCGCTCGTAGGGGCGGTCCCGCCAGCACTGCCGCATCAGCTCGTACCTGGGGGCGGAGAGTCGTGGGCGGCTCAGTGAGCACGGGAGGAGAGGGGACGGAAAAGCTCCTTGCGGGAGATGGGGAAAGCAGGCGGGAAACTAAAGCCGAGGAAAGGTGTTTGGGTGTGGGACCCCAGCCCATTCCTCAGCCACAATGCAGAGGCAACCAGGCAGAAGCTACTGGAAGTTGGTGCGAGCCCTGTGGGGCAGTGGGGTTACCTGGTGCCACCACCAGCCCAGGCTCTGTCCACTTACACCTCGTCGTCGCAGTTACGCGGCTTCTCCATGCGGTATCCCTGCGGCAGCTTCTCATAGAGCTCGGCACACGTCATCCCGCAGTACGGTGTCCCCCCTGCAGCCAGAGACACCCAGGGGCTGAGGAGGTGACAGTCCCTAGGGTGTTCCCCCCAGGGCCCCAGGATAACCAGACCTACAGGGACCTGAGTGAAGGCAGGGGACAGGGAAGAGCCTTACCCAAGCTGACAATCTCCCAGAGCAGGACACCGAATGACCACCTGAAAGGGGAGGAGCCGAGGCTGTGACAGAGCGCCCAGCTGTGCCCCGCTGATGGACACAGGGCAAAGCCCAGGGTGGAACAGGCAGCCAGCGCTTGGGCTGAGCCAGCAGCTCCTCAGGAAGATGCACCAGCATCACCTCCTGCCCTTGCAGCACCCAGAGCAATAGCCTTGCCTCTCTGACTGCACCAGAGAGGGGTGGAGGTGCCACAGCCATGCCCCAGCCCGGTGCCCCCGGCCTGCAGCACTTACACATCACTCTTGGTGGTGTACACGCTGTAGTTGAGGGACTCGATGGCCATCCAGCGAACTGGCAAACGGCCCTGGGGAAAGAGAGAGCCACCATCAGGGCTGGAGGAGTGCCTCCTGGGGGGAAGACAGCTGTGATCCAGCCAGTCCTGCCATGGTGGGTTGGTCACACCGATGGTGGGCATCCTGCCCACCACACTGGTGCAGGCCCCATGGGGATGTTTCACTCCTGGCTCACCATTGTCTTCTTCACATAGACCTCCTCCCCTCTGGAGAGGCCAAAGTCAGCAATTTTGGAGGCCAGGTTTTCTCCCACCAGAATGTTTCTTGCTGCCAGGTCCCTGTGAATGAACTGAAAGGGAAGAGCAGTTAACAGGAGCTACATGCTCCCTCCTGCTGGCCTCAGGGATCTCATTCCTTGATGGGGAACCCCCAGGCCTCAGGGAGAGGGTGATCTGAGGGGCTTGCTGGGATGTACCTGCTTCTCACTCAGGTACTGCATCCCCTTGGCCACATCTGAAGCAAACTGGAGGAGCTGCTGGGATGTGAGGGTGGAGGCAGTGCCGTGCTCCTTGGCAAAGGCTGGGTCGGTCTCCAAGACTCGGCTTTTGCGGAGGAAGTCGAGGAGGTTTCCATATGGAGCGTACTCAATGGCGATGTACAGGTAGCCTGGGGGGCAGGAGGAGGTTGGGCTACTGGGGCTCTCCCCAGCAAAAAGGAATAGACAGCTGGACAGGGGTGGTGGGGCAGGGTAGAATGGGACAGCCCTCACCCTTGTTCTCACAGGCACCCAGCAAGTTGATGATGTTGGGGTGATGGCCCAGTTTGCACAGCACCTCCAGCTCCCCAGCAAAGTCCCGATGGTCATTCTCTGAAGCAAACTCTGGAAGCAAAGAGGGGATGAACACCTCGGGCTACAACAGGGGCTTTTCCTCTGCTTCTCTGCAAAACACTCCTGATGCTCCCCAGCACAAGCATGGCTCAGGACACAGCTGCAGCAGTCAGCCCACCCTGCCTGCCTCCCCCAGCACTCACCTTTCAGCATCTTGATGGCTGCATTCATTTTCAGGCCGTCCTTTTTGATCATGGCCCTGATTACCTGCCCAAAATTGCCCTCCCCGATCATGTCCTCAAACTTGATGTCTTCCCACTCCAGGATGGGGTAGCTGAGGGGCTCAGGCTGCGGCTTGGGCCGGCGTGTGAGGGTCAGGGTCCCTGAGTTGAACTGCAGGATGGTCTCTTCCCCCTGGCAGATGGAAGCGGGTGAGGTTAGAGGCACCGGGCACCTGCCCGCCCACGCGGCAGTCCCAGCAGGACAGGAGTCATGGGCAAGGGTGGGCTCCGCACCCTCTCCGTGTGGAAGTGAGGTCTGGCTGCATCCGGGCTGGAGGCTATGGAACGTGACCTGGAGCGGGCTGGGACCTGGGGAGCAGGGGACACGGTCCTGGCGGGGCAGGCGGCACTCACCGAGCCAGACTGGTACGTAAAGGTGCGGCGCCGGTGGAAAAAATTCTTCTTGATGAGGAAAAGTGCCAGGAGAGCAAAGAGGATGGTGAAGCAAGTGACGGACACAGAGCCAACAATGGCCAAGAGCAGCTGCTGGTCTGTTCCCGCCTGCTCAGTGCCCTGGCTGCCCAGGCTGGGCGGCACGCTCAGCACTCCTGCCAAAAGGAGGGATGGAGGGTTGTGGTGCATGGTCAAGCCCTGCCTGGCCTGCACTAGTGGCCAACCACCATGGCAGCAGCCCTCTCCCAGCACCAAGATCCCCAATGAAGATACCATAACCACATCCTGAGCTCCCGGTACCACAGTGGCACAGAGGGGAAAGTGTCACAGCCCAGCTCCTGACACTGAACCACTGGTTTCTGGACCTCCAACCAGCTTTGGGTCAAGCCATGATCTCCTCCAATGCTTGCTCTGCTCTGCTCCCCCAGCCCCTTGATTCACATCCCCTGCTGCCCAAGGCAGAGTCACTCTGTAGGTGCCATGACGTCATCATGCCACCCCTGCCCCTGTAGGACTAGGAGGAGCAGGTTTTAAGACACCAAGAGTTTTGATCTTTGGCTGCTGCTTCAGAGCCATGGTCAGAAGGTGCCACAAGCACCCCGATCATTCTTTGCTGATCAGAATCTGAGCCCAAGCTGCAGCAGAGCTGTGAGCCCCCTGCCTGCTGGGACACCCCTCTCACCGTCCCCGAGGGTCTTGGCTTTTACGGGCAGGCTCCATTCCCCTGGCACATGGGAGTTGGCACGGACACGAAACTGGTAGCTGGTGCTGGCATTGAGGCCTCCAACGATCTTGGTGGTCTCGGCGCCGCTGTCGGTGTCAATCCACTGGGGTTCACTGGTGCCCCCCACCTGCTGCAGCTCCACAATGTACTTGGTGATGCCCCCGTTGGGGTACTCAGGCACCTGCCAGGAGAGCCTGACCGCGGTGTCGGACACGGGCTCTGCCGAGAGCAGCTGCGGGGAGGAGGGCCCTGGGACCAAGAGAGAAGAGTGTCAGGCCCAGAATGGGGCTCCTCGTGCTGCCCAGGCTCAGTGCTGCTGTTGGGATTGAACCCTGAGGATGGCAATGGGCAACCAGAGCCAGGTCAGCTTTGAGGGATCTTCAGGGACCCCAGCCCCTGCTTGGAGGAGGTGGAGGTGCTCTCCATGTACCACAGTGAAGCAGGACTGTACTCCCAAACGTTCCAGCCACACCATCTGAGGTCTAAATGCCTGTGATTGACTAGCTCTTGTGACTTTTTATTCCTTCAGGCCTCCATCACATACTTTCTGCCCACCACCTCCTCTGAGACCTCTCCTGCCTGCCCACATCCCTAACCCTTAATTTCCAGATCATACAAAGCTCTTAGAAGCAGAGAGCAGAGGAAACCTGCCATCCCTCAAGCCTGATGTCTATCAGTCCTCTCAATGTGTACTGTACAGTGCCAAGCCCCCCTCCAAAGGCCTCATGCATGCCTTTGCCCTTGGCTGCCAGAAAGCTTGGTCAGGCTGGTGCTCCATCTCTGCATGGTCTTCTACCTACTCCAGGGGCTGTGAGTGTGTGTGCCCAGAGGTGGGACTGCAGGGCTCCCCAGGCCCTAGTGACCACACAACAAAATTACCTGGCAGCAGAGTTAACGCAAACCAAAAGGGAAGTATTTTTTCATGCAAAGTATAATGATATAGAGGAACTAGTTGCTACAGGGTATTGTAAAGGCTGCAAGTATAGACAGGTCCATCAGGGTTTGAGCAAGGGTGTAGAGAACAGATTTGTTTGTGACCATCACTCTGGATGATCTGAATGTCACATTCAGCTTAGGATGTCTCTCAGTTCCTTGGTGCTGGAGACTGCAGGATCTAGTGGGGAAAGGAGGGCTCATTTTCCCCAAACAGCTGTTCATGTTCTATCAGAGATGGGAGAAGGAGCAGCCAGACCTGGGGATGGTTGCTGTTACAATTATAACTGATTTATCATTGTAATTCCCTGTTACAGTTCCCAGCATTCCACTGGACCCACCTTTACTGTTGATCATGACCTTGTAAGGGTCAGAGGGTGGCCCCAGGCTGGTGCAGTGGTACACCAGCACCTCCAGCCTGTACTCCTTGTTAAACTCCAAGCCCCCGATGCGGGCAGAGAGCACAGAGATGGATGTGATGTTTTTCTCAGAGACCAACCGCCTTGCAGAGTCAAAGAGGTGGACAATGAACCCATGTGCTGGCTCATGGTTGCTTGGCAACTTCCAGGTGACATGAAGCATATTTTTCTTTTCTACGGACCAGCCTTCGATCACAGGTTTGACTGTGGGCTCTGCAAACAAAAAGGCAGCAGAATCTCACAGCACGTCAGCTGTGAGACCTTTCAGGCTCTGTGCTGTGCAGGGTCAGGGCCAGGGTCAGGGTCAGGGCCAAGGAGATGGAGGCTCACCAAGGCAGTCAGTCACCATGATGGCTTCAGGACCCTTGCTGCCCTCCCCACCAGCCCCTGGCCGGCTCAGCTGCGCCTTGACGATGTAGGCGGTCACTGGCCGGAGGTTCATGAGGGTGATGTTCTCGCTGTTGTCGACTGTTGGCCAAGAAAACATGTCAAAACCATGCCCATCATCCACAGCCTGCCCTGCCACCAGCATCCTCCTCAGCATCACCACACGGGGCCTGGTATGGAGACATCTGCCCACCCCAGACCTCACCCACCCACACACAGGTTTTATCTGTGTCCCTCAGCCCTGCAGGCACATACCCACAATGGATGACCATGCTGAATTGTCATCCTTGGGCTTGTAGAAGAGCTTGATGGAGGTGATGGGTCCATCACCAGAGAAGCTGTCCACAGGTGACACCACGAGCTGGCGACTCTGCTTGGCCAACAGCCGGGGGGCGCTCAAGGGCACTGGCGGCACTTGGGGGGAAGAAGGGAATGACACTGGTGGGACTGGGAGCAACGAGGAGCACAGAGAGCATGAATACATCTGCCACCTCTTGGCTCCTTCCAGCTTTGTCAGGAGAGTCTTTTATAATCACCCAAACCTGTCTGCTGGCATTGCAGCCAACGATGGGAGGCACCCAGTCAGGCGCAGTGGTGGTATTGCACACCATGCTGACAGCCTCCCCCAGCAACCCTGGCTTGTCCTGCTCCTGCCACCACACTTTCCTCACCTCGGATATTGACCTTGACTTTCCGGCTGTCCTGGCCCCCGGTGGTGGAGACCCGGCACTCCCAGAGCCCCGTGTCCGCCTTTGTCAGGTGCTGCACCTCAAACTCACAGGTGATCTGCTTTGGCTCAATGATGGTTTTGATGACCTGTGGCACAGAGGGTGCTGTCAGCCCCTCCACTCTGCCCCTGGCTCAGCCCCCATGAGTGTGAGGCTGCCCAGCAGCTGCATGTACTCGTGAGGGAGCTGTGGTGGTGGGGCAAGGGGCAAGGGGCAGTACCTTGAGCACAGTGCCGTCAGCCTTGCGCAGCTCCACGCTGTCCCTGGTGGGCAGTGGGTTGCCAATGGCCACACAGCTGATGATGGGCTCTGAGCCCAGGTTGAACTCCAGCTCTGAGGCCAGCTGGATGATCTGGGGGAACCGGTCTGGTACACAGAAATCAACATTAGGGCTGGCCCTGCTCCTCCCCTACAAGAAAGCCTGGCACCTTTTCTTGGACCTAGATGGTGCCAAGGGAAAGGTGATGGATGCTGTGGTCCAGCCCTGATCCCCACCCCACATGCTGGGCTTAGCAACACTCTCAGCACAGATAATGCTGGGATCCAGACCAGATGTTGCCCTTGCAATGTCCTGGTTTTACAGACTTGGAGTCTAATTCCATAGCCAAGGGGTCCTGCTGAACCAGCTGGCGAGACCAATAGCCAATGGCCCTCCCAGCCATTGAGGAAGGAGCCAGCACACACCAGAGGGTGGGGGATGGAAACCTGCCACAGCCCTATGCCAACCTCACCTGACTTCTCACAGTGCTGCCCATGCCAGCCTGCGGGGCAGACACAGCCACTGAAGCGGTTACAGCTGCCTCCATTTTGGCAGGTGCACTCCAGGGCACAGTCAGGGCCGTAGAATCCTGAGGGACAGGCTGTGGGAAGAGAAGAGCTCACTGCTACCCTTGGCCATGGCACAGGATCAGAGAGACAGCAAGCAGCTGATGCAGGCAGCTGTACTGCTCAACCTGTGCTGACCCTCAGATGAGGAGAGGGTTGCAGAGGTGCTGCTGGAGAGCAGCCAGGCCCTGGAGGAAGCCCAGCTGGGTGAGAGCTGATGGACACCCATGTCCCTGTACCTTGGTCGCAGCGGGAGCCGCTCCAGCCCGAGGCACAGGAGCAGCCATAGGGGTCGAGAAGGCAGAAGCTCAGCCCCCGGCAGCCCTGGGCTCTCTGGCACGTCTCCTGGCAGTTGCGGCCAAACTGGCCTTCCTGGCAGGCTGGAAAAGAAGCATGGTCTGGCCTCACCCACCCTTCATCCATGCCCTTACTGCTTGTGCATGGCACAGAGCTGGCTCGGGTGCCCCAAGCCCCATATCACCACCTGGAGGAAACATGGGACCCATGTGGCTGGTCCAGCCCTGGCCCAGAAAGAGAGGGCACCGAGGGTAGGGAGATGCTGGGGATGAACATGGCATTTCTAGACGCAGTGCTCAGATCTAGGGGTGCAAGAGAGCCCCCACATAGGCCCTGGGCACAGCACCCAGTGCTGGGCAGGGGGAACCCACCTCTCTCACAGCGGGTGCCCATGAACCCTGGAGGGCAGATGCATTCACCAACGTGGTCGTGGCAGATGCCGCCGTTCAGACAGTCGGGACAGTCCTTGTCACAGGATGGTCCCCATTTCTTTGCAGGGCAGGCTGCAGAGAGAGCAGAGAGGGCCAGAGTGCCACCTGCCACAGGGCAGGGTATGGCTGTCCCCAGTCCCAGGCAGCCAGGGCCCTGCTCACCTCTCACGATGAGGCGGTAGAAGGCACTCCACAGAGGGCTGTCCCCCATGAACGTGGCACTGTAGACACCGTTTTCGTTGACACTGACATTGGGGAGCGTCAGGACAACGTGGTCATCCTGCACCTCGCCCCGGTCCGTGGTTTGGTAGTAGGTGCCTGCAAGGGGACAGAGGGTTATCTGTGACCTCCTGTGCCCCGGGGCCAGTGCCAGGCACCAGCTGGGAGCAGCTCCAGCCCTGGGTCTGCTCTTGGAACTACTTGCCGTTTCTTTTCCACATAACATCTGTCTCCTTCCTCTTGAGGATCCTGGCAGAGAAGGTGGCTGCCTCGGCCACATTCACAGACTGTGTGGCCTTCACTGGGAAGAGGTGGGCTGCAGAGGAGGAGGAGGCACAGATTGCACAGCAGTCACCCCCTGAGGGCACTCACACCAGGACATACCCTGGCATGTTCCTGCTGGAATGTCATGACACATCTCCCTGTCTGCTCCATGTTGGACCCAGGACCCCCAAGGCTCTGCAGGAACAGGGCTCCCTTCCTGGCCCCTTGAGCCCCTTCAGGCAGACACCAAGGAATGGGATTTGGCACCCTGCCCTCTGACCAGCCCACCATCTGCACAGGATGCTGGTGGCAGCAGTCTGGGGAGGTGACATCTGAACAAGTGTGCATGGTGCACCCTGCCTGCTGGTGAGGTGTGGAGTGCTGCAGGCAGGGAAAGCAGGGCTGGTAAGGGGAATTAAGTGTGCAGGAGGCTGCACTGCAGCCCCCAGGAGCAGCAGCCCTGTCACGGCTGTTTTCCTGATTCCCCAGGTGCTGGGGTGTGCAGCAGCAATGAACCCCTGGAGTATTAATGTGAGTCAGCCAGACCCCAGCCTGAGCACAAACAGGGCTATAAATACCTTAAGGCCTGGGAAACCAAGCCCTGGGCGTGCCAGGACAGACACAAAGGAGGACACAGGCGGCTGCTGGCTTTTGGAGCCTGGCAGTTCTCCAGCTTGCACACACTAAAAGAGCCACACCAGGCTGGAGCTAAAACACATCCAGCCCTGTGTCCCGCCCCTCTGAGGCCAAGGACCAGGAGGAAGCAGCACATGCTGCAGACGCCCAGGGAAGGGCACCGCAGGTCACACTTGGCAGTCATTTCCCAGAATCGCCTCCCCATCTATCCCTCTAATTGGGATCTTTGTTCCATGGACTTTGAAGCCCTCAGTGGTGGGCTCACAGATATGGCCCTCACTCTGTTTCAATCCACCTCACTCCCTGGAATGAAAGGCAACAGTTCCCTGGGGACCCCTAAATGCAACGCTTTGCATTTGTGCACACCGATTTATTTGCCTGTCACCCCATCACTGAAGCCCTCCCAGACAGCATCTCTTCCCTCTCTGTCACTCCACAGTGCATTCATCATCTCCCCAGGCAGCTCAGGGACAGACAGCAGGCAGCATGGCTGCTTGCTCAGCTCTGCACCCACAGCTGGTGACACAGGTCCATGCAAAGACCTCGTGCCATGCCAGTGGGAACTCCCTCGTGTGACAAGAACTGCTCCTATTCCTACTCTCCCTTTTTTTAGTCAGTTATTTACCCATGCAAAGATCACTCCTGCCACCCCCTGGGTGCAAAGTTTCTCTCAAAGAACCTCGGAGAGGGATTTTTCCCAGTTTTCTCCAGGAATTTGAGCAGACAGTATCAATTTTTCACAGCATCATCACTGCTGCCACCCCAGCAACCCTACCACAGCAAACCCTTTCTCAGGGACCATGCCACCACATATTCTGCTCTTTATTACAGTTTTGCTATTTTTCCAGGTTCAGACTTGAGTTTTCAGGCCTGTAACTCCCTACCCAGAAGTTTTAGGAAGGTCTGGTTTCCCAAGGACAGCCTTGCTCACTGCACACCCAGCCTGGCAATGTCTGGTGCTCCATTCTGCAATTTATCACCTGTCTCCTGCCAACAACAGTGGCATTTTAGACAGATCCTCCAGCAAATTTTCCCACCCTTTCCGTTGTACACACAGATACAAAAATTTTTAAAATGTTGGTTTTCTGCAGTTGTTTTTCTGGGTGTCTTTCTGCTCTGGAAAGTGTAAAAGATAGTTTATTGACAGATTTAAACACTTCTGAAATTGCTTCTCAGGATCTCTTTGGTTTGCTTTACTTTGTTTTTTCAGTAATCCTTCCAAAATTTATCAAACTTCCTAAGTTCTTCTCCATGCATGACCTTTTGGGAGCTGCCAGCTTTCCTCTAACAGCATTCCCCACCCACTGTTTAATCACCCTGGCTTGCTTTGGTGTTCTCTCAGGCTAAACAGGAGAGATGGCACACACCAAGCCACTTCAGTGGGTTCTGTATCCAGCTCCCCTGCAAACATGTCAACTTTTTGCTTACTAATTCCTTTATTTTTTTACCTTCTCCTCTAAACACAGCAATAGAAGGTTCTTAGAAACTTGTGAAAGAGACACCTTTTTGGCACTTGTAACTCCCACAGGGGCTCCTCCAAAGCACTATTTTATTTTTTGGCTAAGAGGACCCAGGAGTGGGGGCTGACTGAGAACACCCCACCATGGGAAGCACTGTCCCAGACATGGAGCCCCAGAGCCATCACCTCCATCCATGATTTATAAACAAAGACATCTGGGGGTACAGAAATCCCTCTGTGCTCCTCACCCCGTGCTGCTGGTCATGTCTCCCACACTGTCTCCATTGGCCTCTGCTCCATTCCTCAGTGCCACCCTGCTTGCTCAGACAATCCAGCTCTGTTTCCAACAGCACCACTGCCATTTTTCAGCTTGAGCCTCTTTACAAGGACAAAAGCTGAGTCCTGCTCCCTGGGGAATGCTTAGGCCACACCAGCAGCCTCTGTGCCCCACCTTGGAGACAGTCAATATCCTTGCTGAAGCTCTGTCTTAACACGGGCAGGGAAACTTGTATCCCCTCCTCTTATTCTGAGCAAAAGGACACTGTCTAAGCTAGACTTTCTAAAAAAGAGCTAGAAAGCATCCTGAGGCAAATATCACAGAAAATTTCAGTTTTGCAAAGTCTCAAGCACAGGGAGGGAAGGTCAGAGGGGCAGTGTGGGAGCATGCTGCCCCAGGTGGTGTCCCTGCTGCTGGTCAGCCCAGGGAGGCCCTTTGGATTCTTATAGCCCAAAACAGGAGCAGGAGATGAGGCCAGCACTGCCCCTGGCTACAGTGCAGTCTGGCAGCGCCTCTCAGCAAGCCCCATTGCTGGAACGGTGGTGTGCTGCCCCGGGATGGTGTTTGTCCAGCACCTGAGAGGCTGCCAAAGATCTGCCCCAGCACTACCTCCTCCCCTTGAGCCTGTAGTGAGGGAATGGGCTGGCACAGCTCCAAAGGGCTACCCCCTGCTCTGGTTAATGATTTCCAGACCCCACAACCTCCTCCAAGGGCACTCAGCTTCCTCTTGGACCTTGCCCTTCTCCCAAGCCTCATTATAAACACAGACACCTCCTCCATGGGGCTCGACCATGCTCCTCCAGCTGAACATCCCTTCCACCTCCCTTCCATCTCCCTGCCACCAGGGCTGGTCGACCCCAAACCCAGCTTATGGGTCACCACTGTCCCCCTACCTCCCTGCCTGGTGCTGGGATTGCGCAGTACAGGGCAGGAAGGTCCCCTGTGCACCCGACTGGCAGGCAGGGGCCTCCTGCTGCCCCCAGAAGGCACTCACCATTGTGGCTGTTGTGCACATAGACCACCTGGGCCTGCTCGGTCGGGGTGCGCCCCAGGCAGTAGAGGATCCCCACCAGGTCAGCCTTGGAGAAGCCCCTGGCCTGGACTTGGTTGCTGCGGTTGCGGTAGTTTTGGAAGTTCATTTTGGGGTGAGTCATCACGATCTTGTTCTCCCGCTCGATCTGCAGGTAGCTCACGTCGTGCTCCCCCACCACGCAGGAGAGGAAGAAGTCAGAGTGGGACAGGCTCTGCACGTTGGCGACCAGGGTGATGTCCAGGATGGCCCCTGGGGTGAGGGAACACAAGGGCACATCACAGCTGGGCACCAGCATGGCCACACCAGCCCTGCCTCGGGGCCAGATCCTGTCACCCAGATGTCTCCCCCTTTCCAGAACATTTTTGCCATCCCCAGCCCTGAAGGCACAGCCAAGGCAAAGCAAGGCGCATTGCAGACATATCGGGATGACACGGTTCACATTTCTGCTCTCCTTTTAGAGACCCCAGCTGGATCAGCTCCCCAGCATGAGCCAAGCATGCATCAGAATGGGATTCTTGGGGTGACTCTCCTCCCATGTCAGAGAGAGACAGCCAGAGGCCTCTGAGAGCTCCAAATGGCTGATCACAAAGGGACATTTCCTCCCTCCCAACCCTGCTCCGATGGCGCCACTGAGCTTCCACAGCTGCCTCTTCCCACCAAGCCACTCTGAGGCAGGGGCTGCTCACTTAAGTGATATGAAAAGGAGCAATTTACCTGCCAGATGTGGGAAGAGAAGTAGAAGATAAAGCTGGAGTCCCATGTCCTTGGAGCTTGTTCCAAATCTGGTAGAGGTCAGAAAATCCCCAGCATTTCCTGGCTACGGGGCTCAGAGCTGGAGGCTGTGGCTGCCTAGGAGCTCCACATGAGCAGCAGCTCAGGTCCGCTGCTCCCTGCCCATGTCCCCCATCTCTTCTCCGTGCTGTTGCTTGACTTCCAGGGCAGCTGGGACCACCTCCTGTGGTGCATAGCCTGGACACGGACTGAGAGATGCCCCCGTTTCTCTGGCTCTGTGGCCAGCCAGATGCTCAGGAGCAGGGCTTGCTGGCCAAGGGACCGCTGGGATCCCCTGCCTGGTGGCAGCTCTTCCAGGGAAAGGCAGCCGCCCACCTCTCCAGGGCTAGGGCTGCGTGCTCAGGGTTCCCTGAGTCATGCTGAGCCCCTGGCCCGGGCAGGAGGTGTCCCGACCCCGCTTTTCGTCCAATGTTCAGAGCGCCTCATGCCCCAGCCCGCCCGGGCAGTGGCATCCCCATCCCCGCGGTGCAGCCCCGTGGCCGATGGCTGTGGGAAGGGCTCTCTGGAGCAGGGAAAGGAAAGGGGCCAAGGGGCCGTGGCTGGCGGCGGCAGCGGAGCCAAATCCTGTTTCCCATGCGGCGTTTCCTGCTCTCCACCCATTGTTTGGAGACGGCCCTGACTCCAGGAGCCGTCGGGAGCAGCCCTGCACAGGCTCTCCCCCGGGGAGCGGCGTGCGGCGGGGCTGAGGCCGCGCACACCTCGGGGCGCCTCAGCTTCCCGCCGCCACGAGCTGGGGTGCGAGGCACGGCCCGCCCGGGCCCCGGGGTTCGAGGCACGGCCCGTCCGGGCCCCGGGGTGCGAGGCAGGGCCCGCCTGGCTCCGGGGTGCGAGGCACGGCCCGCCCGGGCTCGGGGTGCGAGTCACACTCCGCCCGGGCTTGGAGTGCGAGTCACGGTCCGCCCGGGCTCTGGGGTGCGAGGGAGGGCCCAGCCGGGCTCCCTGCGGTGCCAGGGCTCGACTCATCCTGCGGGGCCCATCGGGGGACACTGTCCGGCTTGATAGGGGCTGAGTGGAAGCACGGGCAGGGCGCCAACGAGCTGCCCAGCTCACACGGTAGGGTGGCCACTGCCTGAGGAGAAAACCCTGTGGTTTGTGGTAAACATGTCTGGGGGGAAGGGGAAGAAAGAGAAAGCCTGGCTTTCCCTAAGTGCTTTCCCATGCAAAGTGGTGGCATGGGCACAGCAGAGCATGGCCTTGCTATAGCCCAGGCCCAGTGTCTCACTCCCAGCATGGAGGCTGTGCCAGCCACCAGCAGGCTCCAGGCTCTTTGCTTGGCAAACAAAAAACGTTCCCCATGAAATCTCCATAAGCTTCACGCACCAAACCTCACACTGCTTCACAAATCAAACTGTTCCCATGTGAAAAGCCAGGGCTGCCAGGGAGTGAGTCTCATGTTTTGATGTGTCCTGGGCCCATGCTGTATCCGGCCAAAAATCTAAAGCACACATGGAGAGGAAAGGGAAATCCATTCATCGCTTCCGACTATTTACAGAGTGCTCTGGGGCCGCGCGGTGCCCATGGCATGCCGAGGGAGGGATGGCAGTGAGCAGGGGCTCTCACAGTGCAGCTGCCTGGCCACCCCATGGCAGGGAGCGGGGAGAGGATCTGAAAAAGGTGGATACCAGATGCAGCTGCCCCCATTTGCCTGGAAAATGAAGCTGGCTGTAGGGGCCAGTCAGGCGCAGAGTTGTGTCCTTACATGTGCAACTCATTCTGTGCTTCCCTGGCAGCTGTGGGGGAGTGCATCACACAGAGCCCGAGTTAGAGTGCACTCTGTGAAATGCCCTCTTTCAGGCAGGATCCGTTTGAGGATGGGATTATTTACGCAGAATTTTTGTGGAATGGAAGCCATATGGGGTCATTCTCTGCACCAGGCCATACCCAGGAGATCTCAGGGATCCATTGAGGAATCTGATCCAATGTGATTTGTTTGCTTGTGTTTTTTTCCAGAAGCACCTGGATAAGAGCTGAGCTATATGCAGATTCCTTTGGCTGGAGGTAGGGTAGGAAACGTTTCTGGGGAGTTTTGTGGCCAGGCAGGACCTTACAGCTCCACTTTAAGTTTATCTGTCTCCAGGAGAGGCACCAGAGGGATAGGCACAGCTGAGCACAGCCGAAGCAGCTCTCCACACTTGCTCTCCTGCAACGTGGAAAGCTCCAGTTGCCCAATCCACAGGACACTCCAAGCCCCTGCATATCTGCTGATTTCATGATCCTCAGCTTTTTTGCTGAATCACAACATACTAAAAAAACAAAACAAAACACCCCCCACCCCCCCCAAGACTGACAAAAATACCACTTTTTGTTATCATTTGCACATTCTAATGCATGGCACCTCATGTCAGAAACCATAATGCACAGATACATTTCCTGATAGGAAATGCAAACACCCTGCAGACCCACCATTGGACTGGCCTGCCTCAGCAACACTTTCTAGTCCTGCTTCTCTGGATATTTGTTTTGTTTTGTGTGCAAAGTTGGGGTAAGGACTGATTGCACCAGGCGTAGGAACATTTGGGAAGTGGGGTATTTGAGCATCCCCAGCCTGCCTAGGCAGCTGGGAAGCAGGAGCTGCCTGCTGCCTTGCCATCCAGCACATGCCCACAGGATGAGGGACAGGCTGCTGGGAAGCCGTTTCCCTGAGGAAAGGGTGGATGTGCGGCTGTGGAGGGGACCTTTGGCAGCTGGGGGAGGAGGGGCCATCCTGTCCCAGCTGCCGACAGTTCCGAAGTGCTCTTGCTGGCAATCGGCTTCCTGTCGATGAGCAGGCATGGGACCAGGGAAAGGGGAGCAGGGAAGAGAGCTTGGGGCTCCCTCCTGCTTCAGAGGCAAAGCCAGGAGAAGGTGTAGCAGTTCTTTCCCTGCCTGGCCTGTGGCTCTGCCAGCCTTGCCCACTGACCCGCCCCATCACCCGTGGGCACAGGAGCAGGTCTGGCATGCCAGCAAACACCCATGAGATGCTGATTTCTCAGACTTTCACTGACTGCACGGCAGGATTGGAAGGGAGAACTACTGGCAGGTCTGCACGGAGAGTGCTGAAGGTGGTGGGGCACTCCCATCCTCTGGGACCTTCATGAACAGGTGTTGTTCACTGAGCTGCTGCGGCTGGGCCCAGCGACCTGCCAGTTTGCTGCATGCTTTAAACACCTTTCTGCTGGAATTCCAGCAAGACCTTTATTTTCCTGTAGGATACTTCCCTGCTGCCTCAGCCCCAGCTTCCCCCGACGGGGCTGGCTGTATGTCCCTGTCCCAGGTGCGTGGACCAGGTTCAGGCTGCTCTCCTCCAGTGCAGCGTCTCAGGGCAGATGCCACAGCCGTGCCCCTTCCTCCCTCTGGAGGCTCCCCAGCCTCCCAGGATCCTGCTGCCACCTCGGCAGCCCGCACGGCACCCACAGCGCAGCACGCAGTCCTGGTCGCCGATCACGGGCGGCCACACGGCTGGGAGGTGATGGGGCGCGGCTGTTAATGTGTAACTGGCACCGCTACCTTTCACCAGCTCGGGAGGAGCGGGGCCGGGGCGGCAGCCGGGCCGGGTCCCGGGCGCTGCTGAGTGCGGGGCCGGCCTGTGAGAACTCGGTGGCGGCCCTGAGCCGAGCGGCCGCGGCCACACCTCGCCCGGCAGGGCCGGCTCTGCCGGCTTCCCAGCTTTCCCCGAGACTTGTTTTTCTGGCCGGAAGTTTCCTGGAGCCAAATGGCTCCTACCTGCCTGCTCTGCTGGGTCTGCAGCCTCCTCTGCGCCTGGTCAGTGGTGACGGGACACCCCTGCAGCCTTGACCACCAGGTAGGGGGGCCGTGGGGGCTGCGGCGCGGGCAGCAGCGGGGTGGGCAGGGCCGGCTCCTGGGCCTGCCAGCACAGCCGGGGTGCCATGGGCAGCGGGGCCTGGCGGGCAGCTCCTGCTCTGCACGGCTCAAGAGAAGATGAGTGATGAAAACCCACGGGAGGCAGTGGAGTTAACTGGGAGATGTGCTGTGCCAGTGGCCACCAGCCACAGAAGTGGTTTGCTCATGCCCAAAGCCTGGCTGTCCTGCTCCCAGCCTTGGGCTGAACGTGTCATGTTGTCCAGCCTGTTCTCAGAGCACAGCCTGGGAGAGCCTTGTCTGAGTCATGGCATTTCTGGCTGTGGGGGTCTCTTGGCTGCAGGTGTAACACAGCTGCCCATGAGGGGTGCAAGGCAAGCAGCCATGAGTCACATCCCTGGGGAGATCCCAACCCCTCACTCCCTTCCCCAGTGCATGGTGATGCAGTGACTGCAGCCAGGGTGATTGGGGCCAGGATCCCTGAGCACCCGGCAAGGAGCAGGAAACACTGCTAAGCCACTGGGACAAGCACTGCAGCCAGCAGCTTGGCTGCATCAGGCAGGAGCTGAGAGAATGAAGGAAAGTGGCTGTCATGGGCCACTGACCTTTCCACTGAGCTCTCAGTTATTCCACCCAAAGGTTTGCACTGTTTTCCAAAGCCTCCCTGAGCCCAGCTGTGTTTGAGCTGGAAACAGGGCCCATGTGGTGCCCCTGTGGCTTGGCCCAATTATAACCCAGTCCTCAGCACCTGAGGTTTTTAAGGGCATATCTGTTCCTCTGCCAAGCAGGAGCAGCAGGGTTTGATAGGAGATTTAGGAGGATGAAAAGACAGGTGAAGGAAATGGAAAGCTCAGCTGTCTGGAATGTAGCCAACACAGAAACCCAGGACTATGGACCACAGTAAACTTAAAGCACAGCATCTCTGTTTGCAAAGTCCAAACACAGTGCTTAGCAGGAGCTTGTGCCTGCCAAACCAAACTTAAATTGCTGACCTGCTGTCTGGCAGCTTCAGTTTGGACACTTGACCCCCTCCCACTAAAAGCCCAGGCAAGAGTAACCCATGCTGCAGTCTGCTCCTCAGAACTGTTTGAGCTGGGGCACCCTGTTTTACTGGTAAAAAAAATAAATCCATCTATGTGGGTTGACATCCTTCCATCCTGCTCTGCTGGTCTTTTGGGGCAGTGAATGGTGCTTGGCCTAAGGTTTTGTTTCCCAATACTGACACAGCCAGCCAGCAGTAAGCCATGGCTACCCACTGTGTATCCTCAGGAATGTGGCATAGATGGAAGCATTGGTGCTCTGTCCTGCACAGGCCCCAGGGAGCTGCTCCAGGCACGGGTGACTGGTACAGGTGCCTATAGCTCTGCAGCCTGGTCAGCTTCCTGCCTGCCCTTGCAACAGGCAAGGCTCGCCTGCTTCCCTGCTCCAGCTGGGAGGATGCCCCTGTGTCACACAAGAGCTCCCAGGGGGCTGGAGGTGGGGATCCAGGGGAGGAAAAGGAAGGCCCTCTGCAAACTGACCCTGTATGACAACTGCCCTGTATGGAAGGACAGGGAGGTGACAACCTGCTGCCTTTGCACTCATCCATTTGGGTTTTTCCTCCAGCTCTGCATGCTCCTCCTTTACTGTTTCAGTCAGCTGCTCTCAGTCCTGGGCTGTCCTGCTCATCTTTCTCCATTTATCTAGGCCCGCTCCAGTCTGGTAGCTCATGTGTTTTTTAAACATGTGTGTGTCTTTGCTTTTTTAAACTCTGCAAGGGTAATTAAGACATTTGAACCTTTGAGCAGTCTCTCTATGGAGACACTCCCCATCATGGATAGCCCATCTCAAACAGCAGCTCTTTTCCCAGGGATGGGCCAACTGCAGTGGGAAGAACCTTCAGCACACTCCAAGTTCCCTTCCAAGAAACATCACCAGTTTGGACCTCTCCTTCAACTCCTTGGTCATGCCCCATCACAGGACTCTCTTGAAGCACTTCCCTTCCCTGCACTCTCTCAACCTGTCCAGCAATGCCAAGCTCACGCTGAGCCCAGCAGTCTTCTCCAACCTCGGGGCGCTGCGTCTGCTGGACCTGAGCAGCTGCAGCATCACCCACATCCACATGGACACTTTCAAGGGCCTGGGAAACTTGCACACCCTGCTTCTAAGAAACAACAGCTTGCAAGAGCTTGATGTCCCTTTCCTTTTGCCGCTGAAGGCCCTTTTCCACCTGGACCTGCAGCACAACGCGCTGGTCTCTGTGGACCCTTGGAGCCTGCAGCTGTTGGAGACGGTCCCACAGGTCCTTCTGGAAGGGAACCCCTGGGCCTGCGACTGCAGCGCGCACCCTCTGCAGCAGTGGCTGCGGCGCAGGAGAGGTGAGTGGAGGGTGGGTGGCAGGGAGTGTGTCGGGCAGGCAGAACCCCGAGTGTAGGAGTCTTGCTTGATCCCTTTGCTCTGACCCCTGGGCAAGGTCTGAGATGGCTCTCTGTCCTACCCTGCTGAGGGACAGCAAACCAAAAGGTGATGTGTCCGTTCCTTGCTTGCAGTTACACAGGATACCACGGATTTCTAAGAATGTCAGCAGGATAATTTGGCTACTCTTCTGGGAAATGGGTTGCATGTACAATTTGGCCTCTAAATCCATCTTTACGTGTCTTTGTAGAGTGACCACATTTTCATTGTTGAGGAGTTGGCAGCTCCCTCTCTGGAGCCAGGTCAGGCTCCAACCATTTGAGCTCAGCTCCAAGTAAGAGCAGTGGGGTTTCTGTGGGTATCCATGAATTTGTCTGTATCCAATTTAAAAGAGCTGCTAATCAGAGTCACACATACTTCCTTGGTCAGGGGATTTTTCCTTTGGTTGTTTCCTACAATATGCTGAGGGTCAGCGAGTCTGTAAGGCAGAGCCAGGAGCACCTTGCAATGCAACCCATCAACCCAGGAGCAAGCGGGGATCATCTTCTCTAAACTGGAGAGGGGATGGGTGCAGACCCCCATCCCACCTTAGCCCATTTGTCTCCCAGCTGTGCAGGTGACCTGCGTGTCCCCCCCGGGGCTGAGGGGCCGGGAGATTGCAGCTCTGGATTCTCAGCACCTGGGCTGCCAGGTTAAGCAGCGGTTTGCTCGTGAGCTCACCACACCACAGAATATCACAGTGACTGAGAACAACAGTAAGTTGAGCAGATTCAGAGGTGTCCATAAGGTTTAGCACCTTCCTGTCCTCCGTCATACTGGGTGGGGCTGCAGGTGGAGACCCCCTGCTCTGCCCCACAGTCCCAGAGGCCCAGGCTGCTCGGCCACACTGGTGCAGTGGCTTGGTGGGAGGGTGGCCAACTCCTGGAGGTGTTTGCTGGGTTTGTGACAGGAAGTTAGCAGGTGCCACGAAGCCACATGGAGCACAGACTCCACAGTGATGGGCAGCAGTACCAGCCAGCTGTCAGGCAGTTTTGCCCCCAGTGTTCACATCCCCTGGGTGTGCCACAGGCTGACCATGTGCTTTTCCTGTGTCACAGGCACTGCACTGCCTGCCGGGAAGGGGGGAAGGAGCTGGCCATACCTGGTGGGATTCCTGGTGACAGCGATTGGCATCTCCATCCTGATTGCACTGGCTGCCAAGTGCAAGCTTGCCCACAAGAACTTCGCCAGCTACCGCCACCGGCCACTGCCTGAAATGAGCTCCATCGGCCGCAGCCCCATGGAGGACAGCAGCAGCTGGGACAGGGGCTCCTGTGGGAGCCATTCCATAACTGATGCTGCTGACCTGCAAGCTGAGGATGATGATGGCTTCATCGAGGACAACTACATCCAGCCCAGTGAGCAGCTGCCAACAAAAGAGGAGCAAGAGTTGCATCGCTCCATCTGAGCTTACAAGCTTACAGCTCAGCCACCACTGCTGCGGCCTCTTGCTGTCTCCCTAGCTCCACCCCTTTCCTACCTGTCCTTGGCTTTGGGCCCCACGTGTTTGGGGCAGGAGGAAGGGAGCAGAGAGGAGGGGAGAGAGGGATGGACTAGGAATGATGATGAAGGCTGAAAGCAGCTGGTCCCAGAGCGTCCCAGCATGACATCAGTAGGCTGCACTGACACAGGGACACCAAACCAGGTGCTGCTTTCCCAGCCTTGCTCGGATGCTGAGGATGAAGGAGGTGGTGCCTACCGTGTCCAGGAAGCCAGGTGAAGTGGGAAGAGGAGCCTGCCCGGGTGCTGCCATGGGGTCTTGGGCACTGGCCCCACTGCCTCATGGTGCCAGCCTCAGCCCTGCTCTGTCCCTCAATGCATTGTTACTCTGAGGTGTGATTAAAGCATGATTTAGCCCTGCCTCTGCCTGCAGTGGTTTGGTGGGACTCTCCCAGTGGCAGTGCTGGGAGGAGACCCCCAGCCCCACAGCTGGGGTGCAGCTTTTTTTGCAAGTGCTTTCAAGGGCCATAAATACATTGCTCTAACTGTGGCGATGAGAGACCACATCTGTGGCACAATGAGTGCTCTTGTCCAAACAAATATTTCACCTGCTGTGGTGTAGGCAGCCCTAATGCACCATCACAGGGTTTCTGTGCATGTCTCTCCAGCCATAGCCCTTCTTTCTTTTCTCTCTTTCCTCTCCAGGAAGACAAGCTAAAAGACACCTTTCCCTGTCAGCTATGCAGAGCTGAGCAAACTCATCAGTGCTGCCAGTTGCAGTGCCAGGCCCATGCACTGGGGTGAGGTGACCCTGTCCCCAGCACCCATTACACAGTTCCATGTGTCTCTTCAGCTGTGGAGTTGCACAAATGCAATAATTTTTACATTCCTGTCATCTTTGTGGTATGATGAACAGCACATGAGACACAGGTAACTGCAAGCTATTTCTGCTGGAGTTGATCGTGCCTTCATGGGTTACTCTGGAGTTAAAAGCAGGGAGCAGCAGTGGCATTCACCTTTAGAAAGTGATTCATAAGGCTGGTACCAACTGATTGGGAAGATTGCCCAGGGCACAGCCCAGTCATTACCATCCCTGATAGCTCAGGAGTCTCTTTGTCATGCTCCAGAGCATGAGATAACACAGGACAGCATTTCTCAAAGCTCTGCCACACAGCTAATTCCCCCACCTCCTTTAAATCTCTATTTCACTGCTAGCTGCCTTTCTATTTCTCCACTCATTATAACATTTAGTGTATAAAAAAGGTAAATAATACACCTCAGAGTATGCAAACCAAAGGGGGAAAATGGGTCAGGCATTGGATGGATGAGACAGGGTAGAGAGCAAATGTGGCACTTGAAGCCTTGAGCAGGAGGAAAACCTGCTGGCTTCTTTCAGTGGTTAGCCAACTTTTGCTCTTACATGCCATATTTCTAAAGTGAGCTTTACTTTTTCAGTTACTGTCTCATAATTTGTCTTCTGGGCTCATCAGCTATCTATGAAAATACACTATACACAGTATTTTTGGAAATTTCTAATATCTTTTGGGTAAGAGATTTAAATCTGAGGGCTGGGAAAAAGCATTTCAGTTATCTTTTGGAGGGTATTTGCTGGGCTTTTCAACATACTTTTACATCACAGGAATTTATGCTGGATGCAGTCTTTTCTTTTTAGTCTCGGTGATGTCTTAAAAGAAGTTAAAAATACAAGCACCCAGGCTTATTTGTCCAGGATCTTACTCACCAGTCCCTCAGCATTAGTGGTTGGATGGCTTGTCTACTTTGACCCTGCTCATAAGTCCATCCATTTATTTTTTAGCCAAGCAGACATGGTAGGTTTTCTTTTGTGTGTGTGTGTGTGTGTGTTTGTGTGCATTTTCTGCCCTCAGGCAGCTGCAGTGCAGGAACCTGGCAACTCATGTTTGGGGGGAAATACATCTGGCATGCAGAGCTGGGAATACAAAGGGTCAGAGCATGAGAAGGAGGATCCTTCTCCAGGGGTCCACCCAGGAAGCTGCCATGAGGGCCTGGCTGGGAGCAGGGGCAGGTATGCAGGCAGACTGGTTCCAGGTGTGAGGCTCAGCCCTGCCACAGGGTGAAACAGCTTCTCTGTAAACAAGCTAGCCTGCACTGACATTTTCAGAGGTTTTGTGTGCTCCATGTGAGTATCTTTCAGGGGCATAGCAAGGTCTCAGGTTCACAGAGTGGTGGTAAGGGGATCTGGATACGTCTGGGTTTTTAAGCAGAGAGAGATTAATATGGATCTGGAAGTGGGAATTGTGTATCATGAAAGAAGTACATGCATTTTTGGGGCTGTGGTGGCATTGCCACACTAGCTGGTGATCCAGAACCACAGCCACACGAGGGACCCTGGGCTGTTGTGATTACTGCCCTGGGCTGAGGCCAGCCCTGACACCTCTGCTCTGCAGAGAGGTCTGCACTCAAGTATCAGCCTTCAACACAATCAACTTCTGTAACACTTTATTATGTATGTCCACACACAACACAGGAACCCAAAACAAACCACACCTGTGCTGCACAGGGGAGTCAGGGATTGGGCTGCACAGGCTGTCCCTCTGGGCAGCTGGACAGCCAGCCACCATCTTCAGGCACAGCCTGTTCTTAGCCATTTTCTCCTTGGGCTGCTGGCCCACAGTCAATCACCCTTTCCTGGCACAAGTCACAGGCACTCGGGGCACCTTCTGAAGGGGCTGCGGAGGGGACAGGATTCACATTGACATGCAGGCAGCACGGAGCTGCGAGCTGGGCACAGTCATGCCTCTTCACAGAAATGCCCAGATGTGCAAAACAGCTGGTGTGCAGGCAGCTGTGGCCTGCCAGCACGTGCAGGCTGTGGAGCTGGCAGTCACTGCTGGACCTCTGGTGCTGGCAGAGGGGGGCAGGCTGGCATAACTGCCCATGCCCTGACACAGACCTGCAGAGCAGCAGCAATGGTGATGGTGGTGCAAGAGCATTCAGCTCTGACCTGTTCCCTCCTGTGTAACCACAGGGGTCCCTGGTGGGCCTGAGGCCAAACAGCCCAGAGGGAAAGCTCATCTTTCAAGAGATTTAGCACAGGAGGATCTGAGCTCACCACCACCTTCTGAGCTCCTGGGCAGATTAAGGGAGGAGATGCAGAGAGAAGAGGAAACAGCAGTTTAATAACATCTACAGATGATGTGAAAGTGGCAGAGGAAAATGTAGCAATAACAGAGATACAGAGAGAAAAGCTCAGATTATGTACCTTTACATTGGGGAAAACAATCCAAGGCTTCAGGCAGAGGAAAGTCAGCAGTAGCAGGACAGGAGCAGGTGAATACAGATGTGGTTTCATGCGATCTCACTGCATTGGGAATGGTTGGTCTGGAGCTGTGAAGGGGTGAAGCCCTCACTGACCAGCTGGTGGTGAGCTCTGACACTGCCTCCAGGTGTAACATGGACAGTGATTTGTGCTGTTAGCAAGGGAATCAGCTACCTTCCTTTTCCAAAAAATTTGCTACCAGGCACTGAAACACAATAGCTCAGTCTTGTTTCATTGGAGAGGGCACTTGGCAAATAATGAGCAAAACCAACATCTGGGGCAGAGCAACTCAGGTGAAGGAAAGATGGGAGCAGACAAGATGAAGAATCACAAAACAGTCTGAGCTGGAAGGGGTCCAGAAGGATCACAGAGACCACCTCTTAAGAGAATGGCCCACATGGGGTTCAAACCCATGACCTTGGTGTTATTAGCACCATGCTCTGACCAACTGGCTCAGAGGAAGAGAAGGTCATGCAGGGGCATCTTCAGCAGGAGGTTGGGATCTATGTCTATGGAAAGGGCAGTGAAATGGTTAGTGAGTCTGAGGAAAATGAGAATTTTGTCAGGTAAATTAGACTTAAGTCACAGGACAAGTTCCTGGGGTGAATTGTTAGTCTGCCTCTGGTAGAGAGACCTTGGTGATAAAACAAGACACCTTGTAGAGATAAAACACCAAAAAAACTCCAGGTAAGGCCCAAGTGACAGTAGAGGAACTTTTCTGCCCTTCAGCAGCTGCAGCACTTGGGAGACAGAAACAGCATGGGAACAAGCAGGGACTGGGATGAGCTGCAGGGCTCCTGCCTCTGCCTGGGAAACTCCTGTGGGAGGGCACAGCACACTCCCCTCGCACAGCTTTTGCAGAGGGCGGCCTCAGCCCCAGGATTTGGGCATCTCATCACCATCCCCCAGCAACTGCACCTTGCTGTTTGTAGCTGGAGCATCCTGGCATGATAACACAGCCCCAACACTGAGTCCAGCACAGATAACCCATCAGGGCCTTGACACCAGCACTGCTTGATCACCCCTTTGATAAACCACAGGTGATGGTGGGCTGCAGAAATGTAACACTGGAACAGATCCTGGCTTCGCAAACACAAACAGCATTTCATGTGAGGTGCAGCCATGCTGTGGCTCTGGCACACACAATCCTATGCAAATCCCACACTCACTCCCACAGACACCGGTGACTTTTGGGAGCAGCCCCTGCAGCCATACCTCCCACCAGGCTCCCTCGTGCCTGCTGACACGCAAAGTGTCTCCTGCCATTCACCAGCTGCTAGAGGCTCTACTTCACTCAGGAGCTGGAGGCTCTGCCCAGAGCACGGGTTGGTTTTATATCACCCACAATTACAGCCTCTCCTGCCAGGAGAGTGTGTGACGCAGCTCCAGGAACTGCAGGAACCAAACAAGTACTGGGGTTCCCGGGGTACAAGACAGGCTCACCTTCACTCTGTAACATGGTCACAGCCAGGCAGGCAGCAGCTGACACAGGAGGCTTTGTGGAGATAAAATGCCAGCCAGGTCAGAGCCCATCCAGGTGCCCTGAGTCTGTGCTGTGCCATCAGCCTGGGGCAAAGCACATGCCAGTCATCTCCAGCAGAAACACAGGGCAGCTCTCGCCCTTCCTTGGGAAAGGCCACCACTGACAGGTTGTATCCGCTAAGGCTCACGCAGAGGTGTCCTGGGTCAGATCAGGTTGGCCATGCTGGAGGTGGGGGGGAGCCGCCTGTTTCCAGCGAGGCGGCCGGAGATGGTGAAGACGCGGATGTCGCCGGCCTCCAGGCTCCGCGGAGCCGCCCGGCGGCAGGAGGTGCACAGCAGGTACAGCAGCAGGCAGAGGAGGATGGCGCTGCCGGCGGTCAGGAGGATGACCCCGCTGGTGAACATGCTGGCCAGCGGCCGTGCAGGGCTGA